GATAAATAAATAAATAAATAAATATATATATATATATATATATATATAAAGGAGATAGGTGATTGTGTAACTTCTTTTAATTTGCTCTTCATTTTTTATGGACCAGTATATTCTTTTCTTTTCTTTTTTTGGTATTCAATGGGGCTCAAAGCTCAAAAACGAACTAACTACAAGAATTTAGCAAACCAGAAGAATATGCAAGTAACAAAGGAAGAATCAAACTAGGAGGATTGAAAAAAATAATAGGCTCCTCTCCATTAGCTACTCTACTCTTGGCTAAAGCATCAACCACCTTATTTGCCTCCCTAGAAATGTAGCTACATGAAATTAGTTGATTATGAGCAACCAACTCTTTAATAACCTCCCTAAAAGTCTCGAAACAATGATGAGATCTCATGCATCCATCATTGATGAGATTTACAGCAATCATAGAATCAGATTCAACCATGATTCTGGAAGTTTTAAATTGCTCCTTAGTGATACGAAGACCATGCCAAATCCGATAAAGTTTCGCTTGGAGAACAGAACCTCTTCCAACCTTTGTTGTAAAAGCCATCACAAACCTGCCTAACTCATCACGTAGAATGCCTCCGCAATAGGCTTCACCATTTCTTGTAACTAAGCCATCGATATCGCATTTAGCTTCATAGCATTTGGGATAGGAGGAATACAGGTCAAACTTGGGAGAGTTAAACATCGGAAGTTATTAGCAGCTGAATTTGCATGACTGCATGTGATAAATTCTTTACTTTCCATCCACTAAGACGTTGTTGGATTTTGTCAAGGATGCCTTGATAGGTAGCACGATTAACATGAAAATGGTGAGTTGGAACACAAAGATATTTACCCAGATTATCGGTGCGCTGGAATCCAAACACATTACTGATTTCCTCACGAATATTATGAGTTTATGACCCACATTCTTTGAGAAAAATATTCGAGTCTTCTCTTGGCTAGCCTTCTGCCTTGCACTTTCACAAAAAATCTTTAAGCAAGAACTAATAACTTCCACTTGATCAAGAGAATCCTCCACAAAGAGGACCAGATCATCTGCGAAAGCAATATGAGATAAATCAGGACCATTTCTTGATAGACGAATTGGCTTCCAACGCTTCTGTTCCATGGCTGCATTAATAATATGGAATAATCGTTCCAAACACAAAAGGAGGATGTATGGGGAAATAGGATCCCCTTGACGAACTCCATAAGAGGGTGAGAATTCATTCAACATCTTCCCATTCCATAATACTCAAAATTTAGAGGTTGATATGCATGCCCAAATAAGATTGACGAGCTAACGTGATATTTTTTCATTTCTGGCGCCATTTCAGAAACTTGATGAAGATTTTCGGAATCTCTCCACTTGGCAAGCGGACCAAGTTTCGATGTAGTATTTAAGTATCGTCCTCAGGGATTTGAGAATTTAGTAATTCTTACTCTAATAAAAATGTAACATTAAGTTGAACACTATTTAATGAGTCAAAAAGATATTAATATCATATTGTCACTTGAAAATAACATCGATAATTATAAACTAATTAAAAAAATTTAAGTGTATGTTTATTTTAATATTTTTAATAGTTAAACTTACATTTAACTCAATCTATTTACACTCATATTTTTTTGATTAAGTATATAAAAATATGTCTAGATAAGTATTCAAGCATATCCTAAATACTTTTTATTTCCATGTGAATGCTATTAAATTCTCTACTATTTATATTCCAATATTTTACCTTTAGAAAATATAAAAAATCCCTTATAAACTTTAAGTACTTACTAACTTAAGTAATGAACACTTTTATACGTTAATAATCACCACTTTAAAGATAAAGTACTTTCAAAATTTTAAGAGAAAGATGAGTACTTATTTCCGTAAATACAAACATGAAAATACATTATGTTCATCACCCTTTTGGTTTGTTGAAAGAAAAATAATCTTACGTGTTCTCAAACTTTAGCACATATAGCAATACTATAGTTAAAAGAAAAAGAAAATAAAAACGTACAACACCCCGGATCTTACTTGTTAAGTTTGGTCTTTGGTTGTTGAAAATATATGCTGCTACGTGTTTCTGTCTTGGTTTGCTTTCTTGTGTCATCTTCTTAGTCATGAATTGAAAGCAAGCTTAAGATAATCATGCTTCGTTGTCCTCTATTGGTGTCTTCTTAATCACACATTTGTAGTTGTGATATTTTTTCATTTCTGGCGCCATTTCAGAAACTTGATGAAGATTTTCGGAATCTCTCCACTTGGCAAGCGGACCAAGTTTCGATGTAGTATTTAAGTATCGTCCTCAGGGATTTGAGAATTTAGTAATTCTTACTCTAATGAATTGATGACATGAAACAAGTCTGGGGGAGTTGAAGAATGAGGGTTTCTGGGAAAAGGAAAGTATATGGTCATTATTTCATTCAAAAAAAAATCAACAAAAAAAACAAAGAGAAAACAAAACAAAAATATAAGGATGCAAAAGTGTAAATATGCATCACATAAAGGCTAGTGGCTTGGGTCCGGTTAAGGGCATGTTCTAAATTGTTGTATTGGGTTATAGAGAGGGATATCATTGTAAATTCTCAATTGCTCTCTTAAGCCATAGCACTTTCAATCCTTGACAAACCATAAGATTGCTATTGTTTGACCCAAATTGCCCTAATAAAGACCTTGTGATAAGTGTCTGCATTTGCATTACCATTGGTTCCATTTGGAAATGAAGAGCAAAGTTGAATTATGTGGCGTGAGTAGTAGATTTGAGAGAAACACTCACCTTGATACACCAGTGTGCATAGAGAGAAACACTTTCCTAGTAAGGATGCATTCATAGATGATCATTAACTTTTCCCAGCTTTTTGATCTCTTTTGAAACCTTTGTTTGCACCTTGTCATGTTCCATTGCAATAATTGTGACTGAAAGTTCATCTAAGGTTCGTGCTTTCAAAAAGAAAATCCAAGTGAGCTAGAATGTAGGAATTTGACATACATGCATTGCTTGGTATCTGCCAGATCAATTACCTCCTACACAAATCCCTTTTTTTCTCCCATTTTTCTCACACCCATTTTCTTTCTTCATTCAACCGAGGGAACATGGTTGCCGCCGCTGATCTTCTCATGCCGGAAATGGGCGTTAGAAAGATGCACGTGCTCGCCGTTGATGACCGCCACGTCGACCGCAAGGTCATTGAACGCTTGCTAAAAGTCTCGTTTTGCAAAGGTATGTAACTAAAGGTGGAAAATTTGTTCGTGTACTAACATAAATCAAAAGTCCCTCTTTGATTCTAAGTATTTATAAACCAAAATTATATCAATATGTACAAAATTTGTGCTAGATAAGTGTCTCAAATTCATATTTAATCAGATTAGTTAGACACTTATCAGGCAATATGGGTTGAAAGGGTAGGAGAAGAGGACAGGTTGGAGGACTTGAATGTGGAACCCAAGGATATAATGTTAACTTCCATCCCACCTAGGAAAGGAAACACTATAGATACTGAATTGTTTGAACTCATAAAAGAGGAAGGAGCAAGGCGTACTTGGTAGCTGCTCTACTACTAAAGGAGAATAAAGGAGAAGTTGGGTGAGCTCTCATATTGACTTGAAGGTGGATGAAGTAGGTAATTCCATGTGAGGGTTACAAGATCTTATTTATAAGCACAAGGGCCCTGAGAAATGAAGCATCACAACCACTTTGAATCGTTAGATCTCTATAAGATTGACATATCAAAAGAGGGTGACTTTTCGCATTCTTATGCCACTTCACAACTAGGTTTCTAAAAGATTCCAAAATAAATGTCATATAATCTAAAAACCACATTGATGTTACATAGAACCTAAACATTTCCAAAATTTGAAGAGAAACAATCTTTTCTTGCCAAAGATAACAATGCAAATGAAGTGAACTCTTCTCTCTAAAATCGAAGACTTGGGAAACTTATGTATCAAGTAGGTCTTAGACAATCCTACCAAAGACATCTTGATTCCAACCAAGGATAAGTATCAAGAGAAGAAAGTTGGGAACATGAAACATACATCAGGATGATATCTAGCATGCTGAGAAGTGTCATTAACCAACTGAATTATCATTGATATGTTGAGACCCATTGCTCCATGACTAATATGGTAAAGTAATGTCTTGTCATTACATGATAATTAAAGGTTTTAAATATTCTTTAATGTTTTCACTATAAGATAACAAATCCTCTACTATTTATGTTCTTACATTTCACTTTTTAGAACACATAATCAATTTGAGAAATTACTTATAAACTCTGAGTACTTAATAACTTAATCATTGGAATCTCTTTTACAAATACATCCACCACTTTTAAAAATCAATTAATTCTAAAGACATAGGATAAAGTCAAGTATTTATTGCCAATAAATATAAATATTATTATCATACTTTTTTTTTAAAGATGATAATATAATAATAATATTTCATTTTAACTAATTAAGCAAATATAAAATCATTATATTGTCATTTAATTTATTTTATTTTATCATTTTCTTCTTTGCCACCAATCATAGTGTAAACGAACTTTTCGTTTTATACAGCAAGGTGATACATTATAACTAGATTTTAATTAGGACGGTCCAATTCATCAAATATTTAATTTATAGAAGCTATCAACGACTTTACGCCACGAAATCAATGGAGCCACTTTTGACTACAACTAAGAGTAACTAATTAAGCAATACTATAATAGACCAAAGGTTCTCATCATCCATCAATGTCAATTTGCTGAATTCCATAACTTTGTAATGAATCCGTTATGTCCAGCTTGTGTGATACGTGTCTGACTCAGAGAACATGGCGGCTGGTAGAGACATAATAATATTATTATAATGAGCAATAAACTATGAGTTCAATGCATAGTGACTTAGTCATACATATACTTTCTAATCTTTCATCAGTTCACAAATTGGGTAGGAAGGACAGGGAATTTTTTACCCACGTCTGGAATTGCCTTTAGCAACATCACACGAAAGAAGTGATGAATAGGGAATTTCAATGCAGTAACTATAAAGATAGTTTCATGGGTAAAGAATAAAGTTGGCTTTTAGAAACTAAATTTCCTTAGTGTAAAATATTATGTTTATTTGGTATTAAAAGTGTAAAATATTTTAATACTTATAATTTTAGTTTTCCTATGAGTCAGTTTTTTAAAAAATATTTTAATACTTATAATGTTCTTCACATCTGTATAATCTCTGTATAATCTCTTACTCTTGGTGGAATATTTGTGTGTCATATTTATTGTATCATGTCTATATAAATATATATGTGTTTATATTTGTTTGTATTTATATGCATTTATTAGTACTTGCTAATTTTGTTAATTAGAATCAATTCGGATTTTTAGTATGATTGTTATATATATATATAGTGGAAAGGTTTGAAATCCTTTATAATATCCTGCTCTGTTATAAACTGTTTGACGACTTCAGTTGATTTTTTGATGTTTTTCATTCTGCTCCATGGCCAGGATAGTGAACCGGGTCCTTTAATCTTCGAAGACCAACCATCATCACCAAGATCTCCCCTGTCACCCAAAAAACCATGGCAAGCAAGAGAAAATAATCGTGAATGTCTGTAAACATACACGATTCCTATATTAGAGAGTAAGGTTTTATTATTTATATATGAAGGAGCATTATTTGTGAATTGTGATACTTTTTTAACATACATGTTCATATATGCATACGGAATTGCTGTTTTGTTTATTTATTTATTTTTAATATTTTTGGATTATAGCTTATAGAGTTTGTTTTATGTGTGTGTACAGACAAACTGGAAATGTGTACAAGAACGTGAAGAGGAAGATTGAGAGAGGTGTTACTTTCCCAACTTGCTTATCTGTAAACAATGTGGTCTGCCATTTCTCTCCACTAGCTAGTGACGAGACAGTGTTGGAAGAAGGTGATATATTGAAAATGTAAGATTTTTGAGCATGGTTTTTTTTTTCTCAGTAGGAATTTTGTTATGAGTGATGGGGGAATGAAATTTGTGTTTTTCGCTATTACTGGGAAGTTGATGGTAGTTTCTTTGGTTGTTTGTAGTGATTTGGCTTGTCATATAAATGGTTTCATCGCGGCTGTGGCTCACACTCATGTTCTTCAGGAAGGTCCTGTCACAGGAAGGGCAACTGATGTTATTGCTACTGCAAATACTGCTGCTGAGGTGGCCTTGAGGCTTGTTAGGCCGGGAAAAAAGGTAATCAATTTTAAGAATTTTTTCCCCTGTATTTGAATTTTTGTATGATTTGATTTGGAACATGTTGCCTCTATTAATTGTATGTTTGGTAGATAGGTATAAGGTCATCACTATATAAGCAATCTAGCTTAGTAAAATTAGGTTGCTTCATGTGTATTGTTTGAAGGGGTTTCTTTGCCTAAATGTGTGCCTTGTGGATTTTGATCTCTAAATGATGAAAAGTATCATGGCTATGGATATACTCCAATGAAGCTTTATTGTCATAGTTACACTGATAGAGGTCATTCATTATTTTTCATGTGTTGTCTTGCCGATTAAGCACATCATTAATCTTGGGAACTC